TGGTTTTGTTGACTTTTTTGTTGAGATTTTGTTCTGTAAATCTGGGAATGGGAGATGTTCCAGAAGAATGTGTGTGCGACACACGTCATGAAGATGCAAATACTGTATTACTTGACAAGCATCGGCACAAACAACAAGTATTAGGAGTATGTTTTGCTATCCAATGCTGGAGCAAACTGCACACCTAAACACTGTGGGCAGAAGCTCCTGGTTTGGATTTGAAACACATTGCAGAAACTGGTCCAGGCATCTAGTGCTTACTGATGCAGCAAAGGCAACTGATATTCCTCTGTGTCTGCGAGTTATTAGGTCAGCATTTTTGCTTCTTTACCTTCTGAGACAGAAATGATTGCGGGATGAATTAAATGCTGGTTACATGACGTGCAACATGCTTTTTTCACAATTTTTGTGTCTAAAACAACCATCAGTCCGAGTACAGATGTTTGATCTATGAGTAGAACTCGGGTTTCATTTTAGGTCAACGGCAGAAATTGCTGAAATTGAAATCCAAATGCACAGAAGCTGTATCCATATTCAAGAGGTTCTCGAGTTACACAGCAGAAGCGGTAACTCAAAAATGCCTAAAATTAGAAACCAGTTTCTCATAAGAATGCATAAGGCACATGGAGGGGCACCATGTGCAACCAGAAGGAGGAGCTACCAAATACAAACAGTCCTGCACACAAGATGTTTCTGTAGGTTTAAAGTTATCTAGGTTTGATATTCAATGACAATTTCACGTAAGCTGTGCAGAGCAGACTGGTACTAGAAATGGAATGGAGACATGAATCCTAAGCCTACAGACACGTCTGAATTGTACAGTTATTCTTTGTCCTTTTCCTCTCACTGACCTTTATTTTAAAATTATTCATCTTATAATAAAATCTCTGAATTTGAACTTGATGAATCTTTTTCCTTATTGGGGGTTTTAGCCAATTATTAACTGTACATCGTTCTGTTTAAGTGTTTTAAATTTTAAATGTTAAGGGTGACAGGGTTATTTTCTTTTGTTTTTTTTTTTAAAAGGATGAGTGATGTTTGATTTACAAATGCCGTGCAGTGATTTCATTTATGATTTTTCCACATCCAGACTAAGACAAGGCCATTTTGTTTGCTTTGCTAAGTGTGAGGGGAGGCAGCCAGTAGCTGGAGACGAGGCTTCTCATCTGCCTGTGTGTCACCTGAGTGATTCTGCCCGCCCCTGCCCACAGTGTGCCCATCTCAAGCGCATGCTCACACATCACCTGTTGCTAGCTGTGACAAAGCGCGTTAAGGTGAGAACTTGTCCTGAATCATCATTCGTCATCATTCATTCATCACTATGAACTGGCTTCATTACTCTGCTCTCCTCCCCACTGATAGCTGATGTGTGGGGAGCGTTCTGGCGCACTATGGCTGCTGTCACATCATCCAGGTGGGGCTGCACATTGGTGGTGGAGGGGATCCCCATTATCTGTAAAGTGCTTTGAGTAGAGTGTCCAGAAAAGCACTATATAAGTGTAAGCAATTATTATTATTAAAATAGTCTCTATCCTTACAGTACTTTAAACCCAAAATGTGCAGATTAAGTGCGTGTACAGCAACACATGCATGTGTTGGTAAAATGAGACATTAAACCTGTAATAGGCTGGGTAAATTGGTAAATATAAGTGGCAAAATAATCGGGATTAATCAAATCAACTTAAGCATCCTTTACAAACAGAGGGTGACTAAGAAAGCTAAAAGCATCAGGGAGCGTGTCTCACCCCCTCCATTGTGAATTCACACTTCTCCCATCTGGGAGACGCCTCTGTGCCCCCAGGTGTAAAACCAACAGACTTAGGAAATCTTTCATCCTCACTGCAATCACACTCTTAAACAATGCAAAGTAACTACCCTGTCTCTTGTTTCTTTCTCCTGTAACACTGCTGTATTCTCTTCCCTTTTGCTCATGTGTATTGTCATTGTGTTGTGTTTGACTGTGCTGTAAAACAAATTTCCCCTAGGGGACAATAAAGCTTGAATTGAAGTCCAAACCCCCAGCAGCCAGGAAAACGTGTCGTTGTGAGTATAAGCCAGTCTGAGCCCCAGGACCTCCGTGGTTGTGCTCCACTGGCTCATCACTCCGAATCGCACTCATCCGCCACGCTGAGCCATGGCTCTTAGTTAGCAGGATCAAGAAACTCCAGGGAACCGATAACAGATGTTCATGTGGTGTGAGAAGCTGTGTGCCGCTTTGTTTTATTCCGTTTTGGCTGGCAAACGTCCCGATTTGTACCCTTTGAGATGGCACCTCCGAGCCGTCGGCACCCTCTCCCTTTCACAGGCCGCTGTGGGCTCGGGGACACCGGTCAGGTCTGGACGATTTCATTCCAGGTGACTTTAGAGCGCAGGTGCTGTACGCAACATGACCCCCCGCTGCAGAAACCTCGCCCACAGCGGTGCCCGCCACTGCCGAAGGCTCTCCAGCCCCGACAGCCGGAATCCGGCGCGCAGGAGCCCCCACGCCACGCCTCCTCCCCTCCGCGCACGCGCGCGAGCCGACGGCCGCGGGGCGGGGGCGGGGGTGGGACGTGGCGCCCTCACCGGTTGCCGCTGGGGTACTGCACCACGATGTCGTGGTCCTCGTCGATGCCGCACACGGTGCCGGTGGTGGTGAGGGTCTCGAACATGCCGTCGGTCCAGCCGCCGTGGCCGTGCTGCAGGGACTGGACGATCTCCAGGTCCAGGTCGATGTTGACCAGGTCCCCGATCTGCAGGCCCCCCGGGTTCCGGTTGCCGTTCTGCTCTCCTGTGGGGGGGGGAAGCAGACCCGCGCGGCCGCGGCGGCAGAGCCATGAGGGCCTGGAGACCCGCCGGCACCCAGAGACACAGCCCGCCGCCCCGCGCCGCGGCCTGCACTGTGTCACGCTGACTGGCGCAAAGTTGGGGCAACACGACCTGCAGCGGACTGAACGTGAACCCCGCTGCCTAGTGGGGCCTCCCCGGGTCACGACAGATCTCACAGAACATTACTGCTCAAGTGAAAGACGCATTCTGGGGACACCGTGATCTCTCCAGTATTCATTAAAATCCTAAGCCTTTATTCTCACGGCGGCACCGTCAGAAAACATTAAGGGCATAAATCTGAAGTGCTTCCCCATGCAAGCAGCACGTTTTAAAATAAATCAAGCAGCTGTTCCACCGCCCCATGACACAGCTCTCTCCTGCAGAGCTAGTATGGACAGATTCAGGCCCAATTACCACAGTCAGACTGCAGTATCAGAGGTGCTGTGCTGCAGTATACAGTGCGTTCAGCTACAGAGCCATGTTCTTCAATTGACAGAACCCACATCACAGCAACAAAAGCCTGTCTAGTGACATGGATCAGTGTGGGATTTTACATTAGCGCTCTTTCAAAAAGAAAAGACCTATGTCTTAGGAGAAGGAACTGTAGTGCAGCTCAAGCTAAAAGGCAAAACCAGTGTTCACTGCAGGGACTCAAGGAATGCATCCTGGCTAACACTGGCATCTAGTGGCAACATTAAACACAGCAGCCAAGAAAGCACTGCGCATCCTTCGTTTCTGAAATTTTCCGCACCTTCCCTACCGGTGCATCTAATTAAAGGGTAGTCTGTATTTCTTCACTTTGGCAGGCTACCAACAAAGCTTTAGCTAACTGCACATTAAAACAGCTCAGGTAAACTCATGCCAAGCAGGGGGAAGGTTTTAAGTGCTATTTAAAAATAAAATTGCCCGCCTCCCCTCCAAAAAACTGATTCATAGAATTTGAAAATCCACCTTTGCATCTCTTTTCGTGCTTTTAGTGTGTCTGTCTTGCTGGATAGACGGTTGGAAATCAGTTTTAGAAAAATTCTCCCCGCTTTCCCTGAAGCTCAGACAGCTCTGTCCCCACACGAGCAGAGCATGAGACACTCTTGCCAGAGCTTCTTTTCTGCAGGATATCTATCTAGACCACAGATATGAGGGAATTCAGTTTCTCATAACCTCTAGCAGATGAACCAACACTACAGATTAAAAAAAATATCAATATAAAATGCCACTAAAATATTCACATTGCTTTTGTATAAAGCTTTACCACTCCAAACACACATATGAGGGGAGACATGGCAGCTACTATGAGTGAGAAATTACTTCACTGGTTGAATTAATTCATTCTTGTAGCCAGTACACCCCCAGTCTTATGTACAGTGCCACTGGACCTTAAAACCCAAACAGGCAGGACCTCAAGTTCCCATCTGATCCAAACAATGCCAGAAATCCAGGTGCAGGTGAAAGGGTCGCACCTACTGGTCCACTAATGCCACTTATAGCAGCAACACATTTCACAGAGGCCTCCCAATACAACCCAGTACTGACCAGGCCCAACATTAATTTGCATTGGAGATCAGACGAGATCAGAATCCAAGGTGTTAATGCAGCTGCTAAAGAAACACTTTGATGTAGCAATACTTCAACAATTCTACACATGAAGTGCAGCTGTTATTTGTTTTAGCACGTGGTAGGCAAGTCTTTATGCTTTGTTGTTCGAACCGACAGTCTAATTTTATACCAGATCTGTGAGAGAACAGAATGAAGAGTGAATTTCCTGAACAAGGTGCAACGTCGACTATACCAATCAACGCCTGTAATAAATACCGACAAGATGGAGCAGAAGCCTCTAACTTTTCCAAAACGGAAAAGAGCTCACACACAATGACACTGGTTCCTCGATTGAGTTTCGGTGTTACTGTCAGCACCGTTGACATGGTCTTGAGACTAGGAATAGGCCGTTCATTCCAAAGGCTGTTTTGGTGGCACGTCAATAACAAGGTTACTTACCCAAGACGGGGCAGTGGTCTCGATAAAAGGAACCCCCCTTGGCATCCTGCACACACTTCAAGTCAGACTAGAGGGGCGAGAATTCACAGTGACGGAGTGAGATTACGCAGGCGGACTAAATGTGTACTCTGCTCCCTAAAACCCATCTATTACTCCTACCGCCAAGACCCAGATAAGACTGGAACATATGAAATTACTCATTAGCAATTAAAGTCTCCTTAATACTGTTTCTGAGAGCACTCCTAACACTGTCGGGTGTTTTTCTTTCCCTTTTTTAATTAGATGAAATGGCAGTCGCTTGAAAATGATAGGCAGACTTTTCATCCTCTGTTGCCTGTGCAGTGTAAATCCCTCTTCAATCAAGCCTGCAGAACAAGTGCAGTTAATTAGAATTAATTGCGCCTCATGTAAAGTAATGAGGAGTCTTCCTTAACGCAAGACAATTCATAAAGAGCCCAGTCCGGGGTTGTTAAATCTATTTAACACAGCTTATTGCTCCAGTTGCATGAAGTTGCAGTCAGCAAAAACAAAGCCAAATGCTATAAAGGCCGAAAGCACAAGGCAATTTAACCGCAGCTTTTCATTAGGACTCCTAATTTTTAACATCATTGGAAAAAAACCCACGATCTGGGCTCCGTAACTGCGGTGGTTCGGTCTTTCGAATGCAAGCCAGCGGCCATAACACTTTCACTCAGCTAGCGCATGGCTGGCTGGCAGGCTTGATTCCCCTTCAACACCCCCTCCCCCCGAGAACAACCAGGACAATCTGTTACTGAACGGAACAAAAACTTTACGACTCGGGTTCAAAAGACGCAGCCTGCCGCTCGGCCAATGAGCTGGCGAGCTCCTGTCCTGCGGCCGCCGCGGGCCCCCCACGCCCCCCCTCCCTTTGTTCCCTCTGAGGCTTTGCTCTGGGGGCAGGGGGCTTCCTTTATCACGGACACGCAGCGCGGTCCGCCCTCCCAGCTGCTCGGCGCACACAGGGAATGCACAAAGGCCCGGGACACCCCCTCCCCTCCCCGCCCCGCTCACCATTCCCTCAAAGCCCACTCGGTACAGGTTCTTGGCTCCGTTGTCCCACAGGACGTAGGCGGCGCTGTGCGGGCTGGCGGCGCTCCAGTCCTGGATCTCCGTCACCTGCACGGGAAGAGGAGCGAGGGCAGGGGGTCAGAAATGGCGCCGCAGGGCTCCAGCCGAGCGCTCGGGAGCCCGCTCGCTGCCGCGAGGCCGCTCAGAAACTCCCCCCAGCCCCCTCCCGAGCTCGGATCGGTGCCCAGGCCACCTTACAGCCCTCGAACCCGAGTAGCCGCGGCCCTCCGGGACGACTGCTTTAAGGCCACGATGCCTGGGTGCACGATGGTGAAAGAGGGCGCATCCAGCATTTATTACAAGTGGTGACTACTTCTAGATCGTAGGAATAAAAATCACAAGATGACATTGTTCTACAGTCCCACTGCATTTCTGATATTGCTGGTATATTCCTACGCGCTCGCCAAGAGAAAAGCTCATTAAGAATACAGTAAAACCTTATTTTAATGGAGTACCGGTGGGACACCGCGTCTGTTATTGCTAAATGTCTGTTAAATTTCACTTTTTTTAGCCCAAAAATTAATATTTACTACATACATATGTGCTTGCTGGATCTATTGACTAATTTTGTAACAATTGTAAGCAACGCAGGGAATTAAAATTATTCCTGTCTTTATCATAAATATACAAGCACTTTATTTGATGTGCTGTCCGTGTACCACATAAATTCACTTAAGCACATGAAACTCAAAGACTCATCGTAAGCAACTGCCCCACTTCAACAGGGCACCACCGGCATTCCTGACTGCTCAGCTTGCGTAGTATTTCATTTGACCTCGTTATTTGTGCATTATTTCCTCTTTACTGCAGGGAAAGTCTGGTGTTTCTGATTTTACAGACAAAATTCCCCTTTTGGTCGTTAAATGGAGAGTTTACTATAACAGCAGAATGTAATGTCTAATGCTGACAGACGCTCACACTGGAACTTGCTATTGTGTGGTTTCCTGTAACAAGGCAAGAGGACAATGAGATCGACGGAACTTCACAAGAACTTGGAAAACACCGGGGCTCAATTCACCCCACCAGCCTAGCACGATAGGTACAGTGCAAGCCAATCAAAGAAAAATTTCACAAGTTTTTGTGACTGACTGATTTGTTCCACCCAGTATGTTTCAATTCTCAGTGGTCTCAGTAGGATAAATGTTTTCCTTGGAATGGAGCAGCTTCCTGTCTTTCTATGAATATCCCCACAATATCGCTTTACCACGTTGCTATCGTGTTGCTTTGACTGGAGGAGTGAAACTCTAGAATACTCCCCAGGAATAACACAAATACAGCTCATTTCAGCCTTGCAGCCATTCCTTCCACTACATCTCCAAGTTCGCCCAAAGCCGCTTATCCACATGGTACACGTTGTCTCAACTTGCCCACAACATTCCAAGAGTTTCCCCGTCCTGAAGCCATGCCGCACTATTCTTCCTCGACTCAAAACAGAGGCTGCACTTTTTTTTTTAAAACTCTTCTGCTACTCCTCCTAAATTTTCATCATCTCGGAGTCTTCCCGACTACCATGCATCAACAGGCCTCGGTCACGGATCCCGGGATGGCTCATGCTTGCCAAGTGCAGAAAGGACCAAAGTCGGACCGGGACCGCTGCAGGGCCAGACCCAGAGGAACCCCTGGACTGGCCGCTGGACGTCATCCCAGTGTGCTGTGACGCACCTCTTTCTTTCTTATTAATAGCCTTAACAGCAGCAATTCAGCGTTCTTGGGAGCAATAAATCAAAGACTTTGAAATCAAAGAATCAATGGGAAACATAACCAGAACAAGCCCTATAATCTGTAATGATCATCAGTTTAAAAAGCACAAGAGGATAAACATGTGTTTGTTGTTACCGTAAATGGAGCTTGGCATTTCTGCGTGCTCCTGTCATCTGCTTTCATTTGTCCAAGTCACTGGCTGGAAACAGTAATGGGCTGTTAACGCAGACATGCTCTTAGGCTCTATTAGCAGTGCAGCACAGAACAATGCACCAAAACCCACGATACACTGCTATTTTAGAAGACGGCAATTCAGCAGATCTTTCTACCAGCTGCACGCTTCCGACTGTTTTTGCGATACTCCTATGTAGATGCTGATGACTGTTTTTGAGAGAAGAAGAAAGCAGTTTTTTTGGACAAAAATAAAAACTCAGAACAAGCTCCCCACTTGGGACTCCCCAAGTAAAAAGCACTCCCCACTGACAAAATGGCACAAAGTTTTACTTCAGCTTGAGACAAGCAGAGCTGTGAGCTGTACGTTTCCCCCAAAGGGTAGGAACTCATTCCTTTCTCATCTTTAAATCTCACACAACCTGACAACACTGAAAGCCGAGATGCAAACAGGATGAGCAGAAAAGGATCAAACTCCTACTACAGAGGCACAGGGGAACTTGCCCGTCCACTCCACAGAAGGGACAACCCCCTAACGCAAAACCGAGGCAGCACTACCGCAGAGAAAGAAAGCCGATGTCAGACCACACACCAGGGCCTCTTTTCCCAGAAGCCCACTGACCTACCAGTGTGTTTTTGGACTCTGTGGGAAAACCTGAGCACCCGGAAGAAACCCACGCACACACCAGGGAGAACGTGCAAACTCCACACAGACAGCACCCCAGGAACCGAACCAGGCGCTGTGAGGCACACCATGACAGAAACTGAGAACTTGTTGTAGAAGTAAATTGATATATAACAATTGTTTTTCAGTGCACCAGAGATAATTGAGTAAAAGGCTGATTACTCAGACTTCAGGCTCCCATGGAAGCAGCATGACTATATGACCACATCCTGTTCTTTCTTCAAGGGAAGGATGATTCAAGACCACCGGAGCCAGAAGAGGAAGAGGCCTGCCTTGTAAACAGCTGGGGGCGCAGGCTGGACCCCCACAGAGGTGGCGGAGGTCACGAGAGGGAGAAAGCGTGGGAAAAGGGGATTCTTCCAAAACAGAACAGAAAACCGCTGGGTAAGCAGAAGCTGGCTGGATAGAAGCCATGTGCCTACAACGCACAAAATAATGAGCTAAATCTGGACCATCAGTTTATAACTGTTATAACATTTTAAATAACAAATGCATCCTGATAATAGCTACAGTATGCACTTTCAGGTTGCGAATATTTAAAAGCTTTCATTTCTGATCTGTTATTATAGCATAAAACGTCCATCAAACTCCAAGTCTCCACCATGCACTGGGGCTACAGGGAAATACTGTTTCCAAACGAACACTGGACTATGCATTACGTTTCTATATCATTACCAAACTGTAAAAACCCACACTAATTCTGCACACTACGCATGGTGCCATTGTTAACATTAAACACCTGTTCTGAATTACTTTTTGTAATTGTACTATATACTATAAAGTATATATAAAATATACTTATTTTATACGTTTTACTTGTAACGCATCAAATGTTTCATGGAGATAAACTCTGACATTTGTTCTGTATTAGTTTTCTAAATGTCTGCATAACTTAAGAAACTGTAAAAAAATGAGTGAATACTTTTCCTATCCATATTTATGGGTGAATATAAAACTTTTTAATAAAAATTGGTTTTACTTGACAGCCACTGACAATTGTTAACTATCTTAAGTATCTTATGTTATCTAAGTTACATATAATAATGACCACTCCGTGTTTGTATGTTAACTCTCTTTAAAATCCACAACATAAAGAAATAAAGCTTTATGAAACGAAAGCTTATCAATGCTTAAAACAAATGAGAAAAGATCCATGAGACCATGACAGCTAGTTAGTCATGGTTAATGAAATGCCTCTATTATCTTTAAAGATATGCTAACATGTTAGCCAGCCCCTGGTGTGAAGATTAAAAGCTAAACACCTTGTAAGAAAAAAAACAAGCATTTTTGTCCTGTTCACTTCGAGGGAGTATTGCAAAACCAACCACCCCACAGCGATGAGAGAAGGCATGTTCTGACTGAAACCAGAACACGGACCCGTCAAGTGCTGCTGACCGAGTGAGTTACCGCTTGCTGTCGAGATACAGATCGTCAGCTGAACGGGACAATCAGACCAGAGCGACTCATGATGCATCAGGTGCCAGAGACGCGCTCTTGCTGGGCCTGTATTGACGACTCCCATTGCCTGGTGAATGGAACCCGTATGCCGGTGATCCCCCGAGCTCGTGTACTGGCGCGGCTCTACCGCGGGCCCCGTTCCGGACGAGCCCTGCGTACCTTTCCCCGCCTGCCGTTGCCTCCGTCCTGGTCCTCCCACTGCCAGTCCACGCCCCTGACCACGCGGCCGCCGGCGAAGATCCCCCGGGCCGTGATCTTCTTCGACTTGCGCCGGGACTCCAGCAGGACCCTGCCAGCAGAAAGAAAGAGCTCCACACTTAGCACTACTGTCCTACTGGCACCCGAGATGTCGATCTGAGAAGAGGGAACTGGAGAATTTTTTTAAAAAAAACCGTGGCCGCGACCTTCTAAAGTTAATGAAAACAAATCACTTTATAATGTACAATCCCCCCTCCCCAACAGACATACACTCAATCATCAAAGCTGTTTGCCTGTGAAAAGCCAGACGAACACAGATAAAACCCTGCTTGTCATCTTTCTGAAATCCTAAAGCCTTGACGTATACTGTTCTAAAACTCTGACAGAGCTTTAACGCCAAACACCAACCAAAGGACTAACACAACAGAGATCAGGTCTCTGCTTCTCCATCTGGGATTAAATCTCTCTGCCTTCTTTGCAATACGTCTATACATTTATTTTTTCAGAGATCAGAGGGTAATATTGGGCACGAGGAGAAAACTCTTGGCATATAAATGCAGTCTACTTGGATCCCACGGTCCACAACAAAACGAGGGATCCTTCTTCACAACCGGGTACGAGCACAGCAGACAGGGGGTGTGGCCTGTATTAAGAGTCGAGCGATGTCAGCTCCGTGGTGGGTGAAAGAAGGAAAAATGGATTTCCTCTTTAAGTGAAAGCTATTTAAAAAGTAACGAAAAATAAAGTCGCGAGCATTAGAAAGTAAAATACAATAGTCACTCAAGGTGCAAGACAGACTCATGGACAAATCGTGTGTGTTTATCCTATGAACAAAATCTCAAATCTGAGCACTTATAAAAGGTTTTTCCAGAGCGAGCTGGGAAGTTTCCGAATTGTGAAGGCCTCACACAAAATTAACCTGTTTACCTCTAACGGCCAGCAACAGCTCCCGGAGAGAGAACCATTCATTTCCACCGAGATAACACACCGGATAAGTCCTCTTGATTTTATGTGCTCTATAAAAGATTTACATGGAGTTTCAGGGCTTTATGAAATTATTTATTAAAGGAATCATCACAGAGGCAGTAAAGTAAGATATATGAGTGTTTAAGCAACTGAAATCTAAAATGTAAATGAGCACTACTGAAACATAATTAGAATTGCCAGATGCTATCCAGATTTACAGTGTATGAAGAATATCAAGCTTTAAAACATTTACTATTCTATGAATAATAGAAAGGTTAATTAGCATGTAAGTATAAATGTTAGCCTAACTACAGATAATAGGGCTACTCAAAAACCCAAGAAACAGATTTTTACATGCTTTATCATTTTGTTCAAAATCTGAATTTCTATTTTACAGGCTATTCTGTGATGGGGAAAAAAGCAAAAGCAAGCACACATACTCGGATCTTTGAACAACTGAAAATCTGAAGTAAATCTAAGGCAAACTAGGCTCCCATACCTCTCATTGGATATTATTTTACTATTTTATTTGCTACGTTATACTGCTGACCAAGCAGTTTTTGAACACCTTACCCAAACAGATTTGCCATCCAGGCTTACTGGCTCCGTCTCTTTATAATCATTATAACAAGGCTTATAAACTTTTTAAATGACCAAGAAATTTTTCTGAATGAATGACTCAACAATCGGCAGACGTGTAGGAGCAGGAGTGCTTGATTGCATTTCTAAATCCCTTTTGGCATTTTTACTGCAAGCCCAACAGCTCGCTGTAATTAAACTGTGCTGCGTCAGGACCTACAGTGGAGTTGTGACCGGAAGTGCAGCATCTTGTCACTGCGATTCCTTTTAAACTGTCGCTCATCGGCCTCTGCTGCTCGGAACAGCAGATCCACAGACTGGCACCAGCCCAGGGACTCTTGCAGTGCGCACACGAAATCAAGGATTTTCCAAAATCCTTAAAAAATATAAATATAACAGCTGATCTCCCTGGTTAAAGTTTTGATTTTACTTCCTACTCTATCCTACATATAACCAGCATTCCTTAGGTTTAATACATTTTTTGATTTTTGCAATCAGGCTCCCTTCAAGGTGAAGTTTCATAGTAAACGATCATAGTAAATCAAAATCATTGGCTGTTTTTTGGCTTGTCTCCCACACAAAGCACAAATGTTGAGTCTACAGAATGACAATCTGTCTCTCCACAGAAACGTGGGGTAAAGAGACCTCTATTCTTGGTAGTCAATACTTAAATATTATAGAACACTTAAGCATTATGGCATTGGGCATGCTTTCCAGATCTAACATTGCTTAGGTTAAGCAAAAGGTAAAGTCTGGTTCTTGTTGTTTTATGTAGCGTTAGGTGCTAAAGTTAATCATTCAATACATGTTTGCAGCAGTCAGCATAAAGAGGTTTGTCAGGTTTTACACAGTTTATTTTGGCTCACAAACCTGCAGGCAGTGAGGTGGTCAAACAATAAAAAAAAAA